CTGAGATGTAACAGTACTGCTCTTTACTCCCCACTGAGATGTAACAGTACTGCTCTTTGCTCCCCACTGAGATGTAACAGTACTGCTCTTCCTACCCAGTAAAGCAAGACCCTCAGCAAACTCGCAGAAAACCCTCATTCTTCCATCTCTCAGTTTCCTTCATACCCTGAAAATCACTAATTTTTTTAGTGGGTTATCAGTGATTTTAGGCCTCCCTTAGCCCTGGGGATTGAAGTTCATGTACACTTTTGATAATATGAATTATCAACTTACTGTAACATTAAAAAGAAAAAAAATGTTTACAAGTAACATTAAAATAACAAATTCGACTTACAATTCTGGGCTATAAAAGATAACACTTGGAGCCGTGGTAGTGCAGTTAATTGACAACTGCTTGCCAGCTCAAAGATTTTGGATTTGATTCCACGGTCAAGCGGATTTAAAAAAAAACATTACCTGTGTTAACCAGTTCAATAACTTCTATCATAAATTTTTGTCTTTTTAGTGCATTGATTATGTGAAGTATTTTGAACACAAGATTTATAAACTTTTTTAAAAATATTTTTTGTTGTATATTTAGTTTTAGTTACATGTCGCAATGGCGGCGTTCGTGGCTTTGGCGATGCGAGTCTGACTCATAATTCTTGCTAGCTGGGTGGATTTTTTATAATGGGATGAGGTGTCATAGGTCAACCCAGCCTAAAATGGGTACCAGGATGTATGTCCTGCGGAAGTGAAGACAGCCACGTAATGCTGATCACACCACCCACCTAGTGCTGGTTGGTCTGTAGAAATATGGGAGCTCTTCCCATATGCCCAATAAGCCTAAAGGCATGAAAAGGGATCTTTATTTTTGTTTTTTACTTACATGTCCCAATGTGGGTTTCGGGGCCCTGTTTTGAAGGAAAACAAGAATAGACCCACTGCCTCCCCAGCAAGCATGACAGTCAACTAATTATGGTCTTCCTTCGAAGTCAGAGTGCATCTGCCTGAGGCAAAGAACCAATAATCTGCATACAGTTAAGTCAGATCTGTTGAATGGATGTGCACACAACACTCAGGTTCTGGAACAAGACTAAAGTCCCAGAGGTGGACAAACCACCAGAGTTTACAGCCAGTGAACTCGAAGAAGAAGAAGTGGATGTTACCAATCAAATTACTGAAGCTCAAATTGTTACTGGTCTTTTGTTTGATGCTACTGCACAAATGACCCACTGAAATGTGCCATTTTATTTCATTTTGGAGTGAGTAAGGTTGAATCCTACTAGGACTAAACACTGAGCGATTAACACTCAGTGATGCATAATGTAATGTGTCATAGTTCAGATGACAATCCCCCAGGTATAAATCCTAGAAACCTTGTTTGACCATGAAGTTAATTGGGGTCTTGACATTTTCGTAACCTGAAGTCCAAACAGGGTAGGTAAGTGTTAATTTTGTTCAGTTCGGATAATTTAAAACAGAGTGATCCACAGGGTTTCTAATGGAAATACATTTTTAATATAAATTTAGTTTTGACATGAAAATTAAACCAATAAACATATTCTTTCTCTCAACATTTTTGCAGAACATTGCATTGTAAATGCAAAGAACATTAGTGCAAAAGTTGAGCTTGACAGCTTTTTAGAAAATATTGCAGATATCTAAGACAATGTTTTGATAGCAAACTCATTATTTTTACTTTATGTCCGTATGAGTTTTTTTAAATGTAAAAATTTAATTATTTTTTTTTAAATTTCACAGTATTTTTGCAGCATACATTGCAGTGTCACCCATAAAGTGACCTGTGGAAAATGTAAGTTCGATAGCTTGTCAGTTAAAAGTGTAAAAATTGACATCATATTTCCACCCAAATGTGCATACAAAATTAAACTTAATAAAAGCTTATAAAAACAATTTTGCATTGCATTATGCCCCTGATGCGCTGGCACACACAAAAATCCTTTACTTCACTTTTACTTATAATTTCCCCCCTACAACTCACTGAGGTTGATAGCGGAAGAGAAGAAAAAGACGTAAAACTAAATAAAACAGGGGGAACTGAAACCATAGACATTTTACATAACCATAATTCAAATAGTGAATAATTTTGATAGAAAATGAACAGGCAGTGTGAGAAAGCTACAAATGCAGAGTTGTTCAGCAGGCAATCACATCTTCACAGCCTACGCCTGACCTGCCTTCAGCATTAGATCAGATCATGTATTTGCAAGAAGTGTCCATCGTTCATGGAACTTGTAAGTATCAATTACTTGATAAATCACACAAGCTAGATTGTGCATAAAGTAATTCTAGAAATAATTGACAGCTGCACCTTCCACTCATGCACACCTCTTGTAGTAGGCTGCATGTTAAGTGCTTTGTAAATCAGTGCCAGTATCCCAGGTATAGTGCAGACTGCTCAAGGTGATCTTGGATTTGGTGAATTTATGTTGTGAAAAATAATTTGCTTATCCTCAGCACTTTTCCTGCTTTATTCTTATCTGGATAAGAGGAATTACCGATAAGAAGAACCATTTCTTGGGTAACCGGTAAGTTCTCCTGATCACTGTATAGAGAGTTGGTTAGATGTTAAAATATCAGCCTGTCTTGTGCGAATCCAGTTCAGTTTATAGCATGGACTGGATGTTACATTTTAAGAAAAGAAAGAAAATAAGACAAAGACCATATACTGCTCTGTCCCCTCCCTCTGATCCTTACACTGAAGTAAAGGATTACATGCATAAACATGGACAAAGTCAATCACTTGGGAAATCCATGTGCATTTAACACATTATTTTGTAGGTGGGAATCAAAACAAGCAGACTGAATATTTTACCTTGATTCCTTAACCACACAATATTTTTTCAGTCTTTAAATCAGATATTGCTTTCACACTGATTGTTGGCTGCAATGAATCTCAATAGCCAATCAAGCTAAAATGCATCAGGTTTCTATGAATTGGGAGGAAAATGAACCAAAGAAGGGAGTCATCCATCTATTTCATAAAGCTGTGTGGAGACAATTTTGTGAAGCACAGTGATGGCTATAAATATTTAACACAAATATATGTATCATAAGCATGTAATGCCCAGATATTTCATCATGACCATTCTCTCGATGTCTATACCACACATGCTTACAGCTGGCGTAGGTGTACTGACAATGTAGGTATTCAGAGAGAACCATGTTAAGGAAACATTTGCTGGGTTCACTTGTGCTCTTGATTCCTGGCGCCACACACTGTGACAACAAATCTATGATACAAAATAATAACCATCTGCTTTGAGATCTGTTAAAGAAGAATAAGCACCTTTAGGTTTGATAGGAGTATAATCAGATTTTTTTAATTGATTGCATTGTGTATCAGTGTCAAACATGGACACTGTCTTCAGAAGACAGAAGGAATATAGTCACAACAGAAATGAAATGTTTATGTACTATACTAGGTGTAACGAGGAAAGATTGCCTTAGAAACAATGATATCAGGAGGAGGGTCGGCAAAAAACTAATACTGAACTTTATAGCTAGACAGCAGTCAGTGGTTTGGCCAAGTAACAAGATTGGCATCAGACAGGGCACCACAGAGAGCAATGTTATGCAGATACAGCGGTAACAAGCCAGAGGTCAACAACGCAAATATGGACTGCACAAATATCAGAGACGTTCAAAAGTACAATAGAAGGGCCCGTTCCAGATATCTTTTCTTACCCTGATGTTGTGAGGCATTCCAGGAGTAGGGAAAAGAAAGAAAGAAAGGAAAGAAAAAGCATTGTGTTCTATCATACTTTCCCTGACCAGCTGGGTAATGTAGACAAAAATATAAAAAAACAAAGCCTTGGATAAAGGGAAATGTAGCTCTCACATGCTAGTTACATTATGTTAAGAACCACAGAGTTGGCTGCAATGGGATACTCTGGCAAACTTGTTACAAAATAAAACAAACTGTTGGGTAAACACCATATGCTACTTGGGTGTAAATCAGATAGACACAATGACTTGTGAGCTAGAGATGCATAAGTAGGTGAGGCATACTTCTTCCAAAGAAGGAAGGAAAGATTGATTTAGATGCTCATATTGCAACTGAGTTCTAGACTCATTTGACTTACGTTAAAATCAGTCACAACAATGTTGTCAGCAGTTGAGAACCTATCAAGTGGTAGGGACATGTCACTATAAAAGTGCAGATATGACACAAATATCACAAAGTTCATTGAATAATGACTATTTTCTAAATACATCAAAACCCATCCATACTGGACAATAGGTAACTTGGTAACTTTTGTAGTGCCCCAGTATAACTGTACCATATGGCTAAACAGTTAAATGGTGTTTCTAGGATTTGTACTGCAAATCTGGAGGGATTAATTTTAAAAAAAAGTTCCTAAATACTGTACAATGTCACATATCACAACTTTTCACTCATTTTTAAACTTGGGTGTAATGACATGCCAGTGTCGCCGATAACTGGGAACTTACTGCTCCTAGCTAGTAGCAAATAAAGATATTTGTATATTGATGTGATTGTCTAAGTAGAGTCTCGTGACCAGTCAGTACAATACAATACACTTAACAGTGCAGCCAATTCCAGATGTTCGGTTATCCCATTCAGTACCAAGCAATTGGCTTGATAAACTTGTCTAAATTCACTTTGATCCATCTCCTTGTGATATGAATCCCCTCTACATGGGATGATACTTTAGTTTTTTCTTTCCCTAGGTGTTATTAGGTCAAATACTCAGACTCAAACATTTTATTTCTCAAAGCAAAAATCTTAGAACAGCATTCTTTTCCTTCAGCATTCTTAGCCCTTGAGGTTCACTGCTGTAGATATCACCCATCATCGTCTCTCTGTGAGAGATCTTCTATTTCCACTTGGTAACTCCGTTACTAATAGAGTGATATAAGGTAAAGTAAGTGCTGTCTGGTACTGACAGTATATTCAAGAAGCTTACAATCAAATAAAGGCACCAAGTTCATAAAGTCAAACAATGAAGAGTATTAAAGCACAAATCTTAAAACTATCTGAATCCTTGTGATGAGGACATCTGTGTTGGTGTTTTGGGTGTGGTAGGCAGCTTGCGGTGTCGAGGTGGTCCAGAAGGAGTTGAACCCAGGCCTTTTGTAGGTGTGACGCTGCCAGGTCTTTGAGGTGTGTGCGTTGAGAATGTGGGGGTTGTTGGTCGGGATCTGACAGATGTACCAAATGCAACAGTTGGGGTGGTTGATCGGGAGGAGAAACCGGGTGGTCGGCGACTGGATGAAGAAGATGATGTTACAGATGTTGGTGTCTTGCGGCCTGAGATGTTGGATGAGGATGTGCTGAGACGTTTACTTCTGTTCAAACTTCCTGTCGACCCTAAGGAGAGAGACAGAAAGGTTAAATATTACATTGGTCAGGTCAATCTTGCAACTATCAAAAACTCAACCTGGACCATAATGTTGGTAAAGAACTGCACTAAACATCACACTATTGTAACCATCTTTAATTCAGTAACTAAATATTATTGAGATAATGAAGTTACATTTTACATTTTAGCAAACTTGAGTTTGAAGTAGAACGGAGCACTTATGCGTTACTACCCATGTGCCATGATGTTGATCTGTTGTTCAAACTCCAAACTTCAATGTTTCAGCAGCGCCGTAACTGTTCTTAAAAAAATGTTTTAGCTAATGAAGGCTTATAAAACCCAATAATTTATGTTATTTTTTAAAGATAATGAAATATTATACAACCCATGCAACATTTAAAACATAACAGTATGTTAGACAACACATGTTTATTTAAGTGATAAAGAAAACTTATATAATCCATTCAGCTCTTTAAATTCTTTTTTTAGAGATAATTAAAGTTTACACAATCTGTGCAACACTTCATTTTCGTTATTTTTTAAACAATGAAAGCTTATACAACTCGTGCAAATTTTTTCTTCTAGAGATAATGACAACTGATACAATCCAAGCAACTTTTAATTTAAAAAAAATTTTTTTTTAGAAACAATCAAAATTATATGAAGGCTTATATAATTCAGTAATTCTCCACCCTGTAGATGCAATAATAGCTTATATTACCCAGTAATACTAAGTGCTAATTTTACAACTCATGCAACTTCTCATTTGTAAAAGATTAGAAAACTTAATCAACCTATGCAATGCTTAATCTTTTAGAGATAATAATATGAGGGTTTACATAACTAAGTAAACCTAAACAGAGACAATACATTGATACAATGAAGACATACCAAAAGCATCAGAGCTGTGGCTGAGCGGCATGCTCTGATTGCTGTTTAGGTTAGCCAGGTTACCCATGGAAGATGTGATGCCTCGTCGTCGGAGGTTAGAATCATTACTTCCTGCTTTATGGAGTGAAGTTTTTGGAGGGAACAAACAATGGGAGAAAAACGCATGAGGTTATAATAATACAATCAATCTGTATCACTTATTAACAACAACAATGCTCATCCAGATTAACACTTAATGGGACCTCCCTCTGAATGCCAACCACTGCACAATGTGTTCTAATATTTTGTTTTAAATTTAATCAGATCCTACTCAATAAGTCTGGCTTCTCACTAGTCATTTACACTGTGTACACAGGCTCTTTGAAATAACATAACAGTGAGTTTATCTATCATTGTTTATCCTTATTAAGAAATGTCATAACAGTTTCAAGGACTGGATTAGCTAAAGAACAACATTCACTCTGTTTAAAAAGCCAAACTCATCAAGGGCTGAAAAAGTGAGAGAAAAAAATATTCACTTGAGACAAACATTAAAAGAAGAACATTCACTTGAAACTAAAGCAGTTAAAATACATTCATCAGGGACAAACAGTTATAGAAAAACATTTATCAGAGACTAAAACAGTTAAAGAACATCCTTCAGAGACTTAAAACAGTTAAAGAACATCCTTCAGAGACTTAAAACAGTTAAAGGACATCATTCAGAGACATAAAACAGTTAAAGAACATCCTTCAGAGACTTAAAACAGTTAAAGGACAACATAAATTATGGAAATAAAGAGATTTAAAACCACAGAATAACAGAGTTAGCATCAATCAGGTAGCTGAGGGAGAAATAACCATCCAAGCCAGTGTTTCTCAACCTTGTGTGTGTATGCCATGCTTCCACCGAAACCTTTCTAAAATTCTTATGCACCCTATGTAACACACAGGATGAGACTATTTTCTAACTGGCCCCTTAACAATCAAATAGCCCCCCTGTGGGGTGAAGGCCCAACACTGGAAAACACTGAGCTAAGGACAGACCAAGTCAGAATGATACTAACCCTTCTTTGCTACCCCTTATGATTTGCATGGTAAGTCAATGTTACTATTATAATTTTTTCATAACACATGGGTGAACTAGCTGTAGTATTTATAACCAGATCTAACTTATCACGATTAAACACATCAAACCAAACAGATTTTAGTAAAAGCTTTGATATAGTGTTGCACTATGTCATATCAAAACATGCAGTAGTAGAGGGTGGTTTCTGACTGAGCCAGGACAAAATGGGCACTTCCTGGCTTTGTCAGTACTGCTGATATATATGTTAGCTGTGTTATGTAAGTAGTGTACGTGATACATGTGTGTGTGTGTTTTTAAAGTAATGTATCTGTTAGCTCTGTTATATGTAGGTAATGTGTCAGCTACATGAAAGATTATTTTTGATTAAAGTAATATATTTGTTAGCTCTGTTATGTGTGAGTAATGTGTCAGTTAGCCCTGCTACATGTAAGTAATGTATCTATTAGCTCTGTTGTTCTTAAGTAATGTGTCTGTTAGATGTCAAATGTAATGAATGTATCTACTAGTTGTGTTACTTGTAATCAGTGTTTTGACTATTCAGCATTTTGCTCCGGTGACCTAGAAAAAACACAAAGCTAAGCTCCTTAGCTTTCAAATTATAGGATAACCCCGTTAAAAAAAATGTATCACCCAAAACAGGAAAAAATACTAAGAGAGAATAATCAACTATTATCTTAAAAGGAAACCCCCATAATGTTATTTTTAGTGAAGTTAGCCATCCCCTGTCATACTAAACATCTGTGCAGATGCAGATGCAATGAATTGCCATACACCTTGTAAACATCTCTTTAGAGTCAGTAAAGCAGCTTTAATGGGGAAATAGTACCAAACGGAGTGTTTGGTTTTGCGGCTTCTCAGGGCAAAAGGATTACAGAGGTAAATAAATGATGTATCTGCTGAGTGAGCTATACATAAGTGGTGTGTTTGTATAGGAGCCATGCATAATTCATGCAGCTGCCAATCATCAGTGCTGTATTAGCTAAGGGAAACGTAATTGGTGTATTTGCTGTTTCCTTGTGTGGGTTACACAACCCCATTTTAAGAGGGGGTAGGGAGGGTCAGGCAGAATAGGCCCACTGCCCCATGATATGCATGTCACAGAATGGGACTAATGAGGAATTTACTGAAATCAGATGTGTTTGGATCGAATGCCCAAATATTGCAACCTAACTGTAAGCCACACCACAATGCAGCAACTGCCCTTTAAGGGTGAAAATAAAAGAACGAAAAAGCTATCTAAGCCAAAAATGACTAGTGTTATCTGCTGGCTCAACCATACATAACTAATGTATCTACTAGCTGAATCATATACAAGTAATGTGTTTACTAACTAAGCCATAAGATGTATCCACTAGCTATGCAACACATAACTGATGCACCTGTTAGCTGAGCCATATATATAACTGATCTACCTCTTAATGAGCCACAGGTATTTAGAGCCATGGACCAGGCGGATTTACTAAATGCTTAATGAGAAGTAAGATGTTTGCGAGAACCAAGTGATGACTGAATCTGCAATCATGACCAGACTGCAGAAACAGAATGTTAAAAGTTGTGTGGTCAGACAAGAGCACTATTCACGAAGCCAAATGATAATAAGAAACAAATACATAGCTGGGGTCATCAACTGTTACATACTGTGGAATCCACTGAAGAGGGGATCCGATCACTTATGGACTGAATAGTTTAATGTGCAATCAGGATAATCTGTCGACTAACTAACTATATGTACTAAACTAACTAAGGTATTTATATAAACTATAAAATATATTTCACTACTGAAGAAATACATGATTTATACGTAAGTATGTGAGAATTTATGCTTGATATGCTGAGACAAACTGTAACATGTCAGCAAATGGACACACTTAATAAGCTTTACATGAAAGAAAATCATCTAATTACAAATGAGTTTTCTTGTGTGTGAAAGCTTGAGATTTAAATAAAAAATTTTTTTTTATTCTGTGCCGTCTCCACAATGTACTACTTTTGTCTTTGGGAAATATCACTCACTGAGGTCCCAATCTCTTCCATGGCATGAGTCGTATCATTGCCCGAAAACCACAAGTGCAATTATTTTAAATAACTATTCACTGCGGAAACGAACCTTAGTGCTCGAGGATCATGAAACTATCAACCGCAATTGCTGACCTCTAGACTAGGGAGGCACACTTGAGATATCTAGGTTATTATTTCAGCTAACTCACTGCTTCACTAGGTCTTGTAGCCTCAGTTCCTTTCTGCTAGCAACACTATTCCTCTGTACCACCATCCGAAGACTCCAGCACCATTTCTCTCATCCTGCTACTGATCTTCTAGGCTAGCAATGCCTCTTTTCTCATTTCCTGACCAAATGACAGTACCTTCCTTATAGCTGTTTCATCACAATCGACACAGACATAGGGCATTGTTCAAGTGCTCAGTCTTCGGAGACAGCAATCTCCTCACGGTACCTCTACTTGTTCTCTTGAGAAAAATTGTTATAGTGACGCCTCAAAGATGGCATTATCCACTCAAGGCTGGGTCAACCTGGAAGTCAAGGTAATTTAAAAAAAAAAAACAGTCGGGCTCCGCAAGGGAGCAAACTCACGATCTTCCGATCAACAAGCAAGTGTCTAACCACTACGCCACAACGACTCCCAAAACCCTGTTTTATTTAGTGAAAATTATCTATTCTTCATTTTTATTTTTTTCAGTATCTGCTTTGTGCCTCTAAGCATCACAGGACACACTTGACTGCTTGGTATGCTGTGTGTGATATTATGAGTCTTAGGTTTTCAGTGATACTGCAGTCCAACTTCTTCGAGTTTTCTATACCTCTTGGTGTTTCCATTTGTATGTATACTTCTCTGAGAGACAAAGGGTATCAAGATAAAACAGTTTCAACCATCACACTGATATTGGGACACTAAATTATCAATTTCATATTTATCTCTATCGTGTGTGTGTCTTCAGTATGTCACTGCTTTCTTAGATTGTAGCATTTCATTCACTGACATGTTACATAATAAACCAGGTAAACAACATACAGAAATTATGCTAAACCTGCTATTTCCCATACTTACCTTCTAAATGTACATTTTCACATACTCACCTTCTAAATGCACACCATCACATACACAGAAAGCAGTATTTCATTAGAATGCAGATTATGTGTGTGCTATAGTCGACACAGAAAATCCCAATCTCTGGTAGCATTTCCTTTATATTCCCTCACTAAAATTATCAAAGCTAACTTCAGCAGCTGTTAATTCCATAAGCCTCACCCAGTCACTACAAATAATCAACACTGATCTATAGATATAACATTAATGCTTTCTGTCCCAGCCACTTTTTTATTTTTAAATGTTAAGATATTTATCTTATTCTTTGTTCATGTTCAGAAATCTTTCTTGTTTACTAATGTTCACAAACATATCTTGTTTATTAATGTTCAAATATCTTTCTTCATGTATTGTGTTCATTAATTTTCACATTTTTATTAAGGCTTGTGAATGTTCATATATCTTTTTACTGTTTGTAAATGTTCACAGAGGAGTGTGCACGTGCGTGTGTGCTCACGTAGTTTTTACATGACTGACTACATATGCAACTCTGTATTTTAAACTCAACATCCATGGACATGGTTGCCTTTTTTTCTTTTCAGTTTTACCCCTCAAGATTTGCAATGTAAATCATGGAACCATATTAAACCATTTAGCCATACAGCAGTTATATTGGAGCCCCCAAAACGGTTACCAGGTAACTTTTAGTTCATTTTTGGTGGATTTTTTGGTCAGCTAGCTGAAGCTATTCTCCCAGAAATAATCCCTAGTAAATCTCTCAAACTAGGCTATGTGAAAGACTGGGATTTTCTTGACTAGTTTGACCTGAGTACATTTGCTGGTCTCTATATCAGCCAGAGCTCTACAATACCTCCAGTCTGGTCTCCACTTTCAGCTACGTCACCCTGGTAACTATATCGCTGCTGTGCTGTATGTTTACGAGACTTTGAGGCCGCTCCTGCAACTGGGGACGGTGACATGGGTGATGAAGTTGAGGTGGGTGAAAAAGGTGAAGGATGAGATCTGTCCTCATGGCTCTGTACTGTACCTGATGAGTTGGATGAAGCGTAACCGGTATCATTTTGCCGTCGCCTGGCACCGGTGGGGAAGGGTGATGTTCTGCCCCCGGCACTGCCTCTGCGAGTTGTGTAGCTGCTGTTTGGTGCTGATGTGCCATCTTGGAGAACTAAGGTTTCACGAAGTTCGATGTTAGTTCGTCCTTTAGCTGTTGGTTTGTGTGTATGGGCACAAACATGAGGAGAGACAGAAAAACATGTTAGCTCCTTCTAGACCAAGCAGTTCATAGTATATTAAACAAACACTCTCTTTTATTACCTCACTTTTTTTAAACTGAGCAATTCATGTTTCCCTCACTGAACCAAATTACTTTGTGCACTCTTATTATTAAAGGACATTTTTTTTGGTTTACACCTGTGATGTATCAGGCATAGGATGTCAAACATAATTTTTTTTATAGTCCTATGGTCGACATCACGCCGCCGACCTCAACTTTTTGGAGATAATTTATGTTATGAAACATTATTCTTCACATTTACTAGCTCACACTCCCATCCCTACTCATTTACCTGTCTACCCTGTTATACACTAATTCATCCATTCACTACTTCACCTGCCCACTCCCTATTCATTCACCTACTCACCAACCCACTCCTTATTCATTAACTTAGCTACTCTGTAGTTTACTTATTTATTCATTCACTTACCCACTCACTCCCTATTCATTCACCTAGCAAATTCTCTCTACAGATTCTCCATTCTGGTTGCTCATTATCTCTCCTGACTTCACCCTAAACTTTATTTTGCATTTAATGCTTGAAACTAGAAAATTACTTTAGGCCAAGTTACTGCAAAGCCAACTGTGACCTCTCAGGCTTTCCCAGCCACTAGATGTCTACAAAAACAGGCTCAAGATACTGCACAAACTGTCAAGAATAGCAAATGGTGGCATAGCCCTTTACCGTTATCTAGTTCTCTTCAAATAATTAAGTTAAGGACCCTTTTCCAAACCTTCAGGCATATTGGGCATATAGGGCTAGACCTATATTTTATAGACCAATCTGCAGTTGGTGGTATGGTCAGCATCAAACCAGCCAGCTTTTCTTCCCAGGACTTGTACCTGGTGCCCATTCAAGGCTGGGTTGACTTGGGAGCTAAGGTTGTTTAAAAAAAAAAATCTGGATCCGTCTGGACTCAAACCCATGCCTTTCCAATCTGCAGGTGGGAATCTAGCTGCTACACCACGATGGCTCCCCTTTGAATAATGAGTCCATATAAAAATAGGACCATTTCTACTAGTTGAACTATCACTATATCACTACTATTACTATACTTCATGAGGCATCACCATATTCTAGCTGTCCAGACCATCCTTTGGGATGCTGAGCTGATAACTCAGTTGAGTGTGCTTACAACTTTAGTTCATTTCCATGTCCTTTTGTAGATCATGTGGTGTGTGCACCCTGTGATAGTAGCATATTTTGTGTTTTGCTTTCACTCACTCTCTCATTAACTCACTCATTCTTCCGTTTAATCATTCATTATCAATCATCATTTCACTTACCCACCCTCCCATTCACTCACTAATATACTCATCATCCAATTTTTTCTCCATTCGCACCCCTAGCTGAATTTTCATTCACTAAAGAACTCCCTCACTCTCTCATTAACTCACTCCTTCTTCCATTCAATCATTCATAATCAATCATCCTTTCACTTACCCACCCTCCCATTCACTCACTAATATACTCATCATCCAATTTTTTCTCCATTCTCACCCCCTAGCTGAATTTCCACTAAAGAACTCCCTCATTCATCCCTCCACTTATTTTCTTATTCACCTGCTTTTCCATTCCCTAACTCATTCACAACTCCACTTACTCGCCTATTCATTCACTCAGTACCCTAACCTGTACCACACTACCCAGATCAACACAAAAATCCAGCACATAATTTTCAGAAGCATACACAAACAAATACAGTTATACACACAAAGACAAAAACACACAACTAGAAGACCGACAAGGTCAACAAAAAATTAGGAAAACCTACATTTCTCAATTTTTAAAATAAATTAGTTATTACCATCATCATCAAAACAATAAAATGCCAGGGAAGGTAGAAGGTAAGGGAAAGCAACCAAATATACAAAATCATAAGAACACATTTTTCTCTACAAGCTTTTGAACAAGGAGAATTGATGCCAGATTTATTACACAAAGACAGCCAATACTCATTATCCTACTATTGTGATAAACTGTTTGCTTTAACCTATTTTTCATTCAGAGACAATAAGTAAAGAAGCCCGAGCATATCAGAATAAAACAGCTACCTATAAGAGCAACAGGGTAAGACAAAGCAATGGATAACTCTTTAGCAAATACATTTAATACAACACATCAGGCCTTCAACTGCAATTTTAGCTTCCCCACACTAACTGATAAAAGTATCTAAAAAAAGATTTCATCCACTTGAAGCTGGACCATGTCTCTCCTTTACTCTTCTTCAGCATTCCTATAAGGGAAGTACCCCACACTTCCTTACGCATTTTCACATTTCACAGGCCAACTCAGTCATGCATTTGAGCCAAGTTTACTTCCTCTGGACAGATTCTTCTTCTTGATCAGTGTTCATCCAAAGATTTAATTGTACTGTGTTCATTTACTGCATGGTTGCAATATTTGTGTCTTTCATTTTCAGCCAATAGATTTTTAAAAAAAATATGCCCACCAGGTTGAACCCTTTCGCCCGGTAAAAATCTGTAAAAATCAGTGTCAAGAAGCAAGTTTTAAACATGTAAAATGCATCCTTATAATTCTCTGAAACTAAGAAATTAGAGGAAAATAAAAAGAAGCAGCAGAAATCTAGAGGCTTAGGAAGTTTTAAAAAGAAACCCAGGGGGTTGAAACTGATGACCACTGAGTAGATCCGAAAAGCATATTAGCCACTGTAATTTTGTAAAAATCCCCTCCCCCCCCCCCCCCTTCTTCCACAAAAATTATATTTAAAAAAAAAACAGACATTGTTCCCTTCTATTGTCATAGCTGAAGATATTGTTCATTGTTCATTTTAAGGATCATCTTCATTGCACATGTTTTTAGGCTAAAACTCCCATTCTGTTCTAGTTGATGTAACGACGGGTGTCACTGCATGGTTTTCCTGTCTCACTGCTCAAAATGGTACACCCAGCGTATGCAGTCTATTCAGTGAAAACTTATTTTCCACAAAACAATGAAAGCCTCACAGCGTTTAATCTCTTATATGGCATTAATGACGTCTCTCCTGTCCACAGATGACCCATTCCTGATAGTCACACTACCAGCCAGCAGAGCGTCTGCTCTCTCATTCCCTTTCACACCAGCATTCCATGGGACAAAAATGAAGATGATTTTGCAAAACGCTGCGTGCTGTATCAGATGGAGCCGTATGTTTCCGTATGTACCCTGCCTTGATCTTCTGTAGCATGCTCATTGAGTCGCGGAGCAAACATGAAGACAAGTAACCAATAAATACAAGCAGAGCAGAGAAATAACCGCTTTACTCCCTTTGGCTGCCCCCAATATAATTGTGACAACTATGACAAGAAAAAATAACACCAAGCAATGCAAAGATGATGTCACAATTACTAAAAACAAATTTGATCCACCCAACAAAATCCCTAAAATGCTATTTCTCAGTAAATATAATAATATCTATCCAGCTGAATACAGTAGCCAAGCTGCTGTACAGGAATGGTGGGAACTGCCCCAAAGTGGTAATGCAAAAAAAAATAATAGAACCTCTGACAAGCCAAGATCTCTGTCTGCACTTAGAAGCTGACAGTGTTAAGATGGCAACTTCACTTTATTATCTCATGATGGGAATATCCACTTGAGAATCTCTTTTGGGGCTTAGAAACCTCCTGTTACTTATACTATACAAATGAAGTTTATATAATTACAACACTTGGTGGCAACCATTCTGCAACCCTATCATCATGGCAGCTGTTCTTATTAATGTGATACTTCCTGTTTAATGAGACTTTCCTGATTATAAATACTGACAGTACAAAATATTCATAAAATAACACAGGCTTTGCAATAAAATTTGGGAAGCAAATAAGTCAACAAAATATAGCTCTCTAAAACTATTATATACACCTAGAGTGCTCTCCCCTGCAACATACATACACAGAAGAAATGAAGCTTACATGTTCATCATTATGACCGCAATGAAAAAACATTAAGGAATTTATAAGTGGAAACATTCTTTAGGATGTGTCATACGAAACAGAGAAATAAGAACATATGCTGTAGATATACATAACCAGCAATTGATATTTAAATATGAGAAAGTTATACCTAACAGAATATATATATATATGAAAACACGATAAAGTTATACAGAACGAATATGATACTGATGTATGAACACATAAAAGTTTTACGTAATAAATACAACTGATGTGTAATATATGACTAAGTTATGTAGACCTAATTCCACAATAAATGTGTAAATATGATCAATATTATACAAAGTATAATCATAACCACTGTGTAAAATATCCACAATAATTACAACAAACAGTATGAAGCAACTACAAACAGACCCAGTGTGAAGCTATAATAAAGTTATCAAGACAGACCCAGTGTGAAGCTATTATAAAGTTATCAAGACAGACCCAGTGTGAAGCTATAATAAAGTTATCAAGACAGACCCAGTGTGAAGCTATAATAAAGTTATCAAGACAGACCCAGTGTGAAGCTACAATAAAGTTATCAAGACAGACCCAGTGTGAAGCTACAATAAAGTTATCAAGACAGACCCAGTGTGAAGCTACAATAAAGTTATCAAGACAGACCCAGTGTGAAGCTATAATAAAGTTATCAAAACAGACCCAGTGTGAAGCTATAATAAAGTTATCAAGACAGACCCAGTGTGAAGATATAATAAAGTTATCAAGACAGACCCAGTATGCAGCTATGAAAATTAGACAAGAGCCAGTGTGAAGCTATTATAAAGTTGGACAGATAGGCAAATGTGAAACTAAACTAAAGCTGAACAGACAAAGTGAATGAATGAATCAAGAAATGACATCAAGGTACTTGAGACATTCCTGTACATGCTTCATCCACTCCACAACGAAGAGTTCCCACACTGACAGTGCCAGCTGTAGCTCAACAGTTTGCCAGTTTTTTTTTCACCCTGGCTTAAAAATGGTCCAGCCCCTCTGATTACTCCAGGCTGTATCACCCTCTCCAGATATGGATAATCTTCTGTTCTGCTGCAGGGTTTACTTGATCCCAGAGAGCTCTTATCATGTCTGCTTTAGCGTAAAGTAGTTGAGCGCAAGATACCAGTTTCTATTTTCAGTTATAATTCTTCTTCATGTTTACCATCTGTAGACTTTAGAAGAAAGTTCTGGTTGTTTGTCCACTTATAGTCTTGTTCCAGAACCTGAGTGTTGCATGCACATCCACTGTACAAATATGACATTTGTATACAGACCGTTGGTTCTTTGCCTCTAAGGCAGAGATGTTCTCCGACTTCAAAGGATGCCCTTAATTAGTCGACTCCTACAACATGATTGAGGAGAGGCAGTTAGTCTATGCTTGTTTTCCCCCACAAAGGGGTCCCTGACGTTATGATTACAACATGCTGGGCTGTACACTCTCCAGCCATTGAAAAGCTGTCATTACTGCTTCCAACTCCATTTTCTGCTAGATGTGATATTATATGTGAGACTTCTTTTTTTTTTCTTTTCTTAAACAACTTTAATTCTTCTTTGCAAAGAAGGCCCATCCACTATTTTCGCCTTTCATGACAGATCCATCTATGTATATAATGATATAATCTGGGCATTAATTTTAATTGTTGTTCTTGCACCGAGGCTTCTGATCTAATGGGAAGCTATGACAAAATTGGACAGACAGACAGATCCAGTGTGAAAAAATGTAAATACAGCAGACAGACCCAGTTTGAAGCTATGACAAAGTTAGACAACAGATTCAGTGTGAAGAAATGAAAAAAACTTTGACAGACAAGACAGATCCAGTGAAATAATACAAAGACAACGAAACAACGAAAAGACAACAGACAGACCCAGTGTGAAGCTTTGACAACGTTAGACAACATACACACTCAGTGAGAAACTATGACGAAGTCAGAGAGACAGATCCAGTGTGAAGCTATGACAACGTTAGACAACATACACACTCAGCGAGAAACTATGACGAAGTCAGACAGACAAATCTTGTCTGAAGCTATGGCAAAGTTGGATATACAGATCCAGCATGAAGCTACAGTGAGTTAGAAAACAGATCCATTGTGAAACTATAGCAATGGCAAAGTCAGAAAACAGATCCTGTGTGAAGCTATGGAAATGGCAAAGTTAGAAAACACATCCAGTGTTGAGCTTTGGCAAAAGTTAGAAAACAGATCCTGTGTGAAGCTACAGAAATGGCAAAGTAAGAAAACACATCCAGTGTGAAGCTTTGGCAAAAGTTAGAAAACAGATCTGGTATGAAGCTATGGCAAAGTTAGAAAACATATCCAGTGTAAAGCTACTATAAAGTTGGACAGGTAGTTAGATCCAGTGTTAAGCTATGACAAGAAAACTGATCCAGTGTGAAGCTATGACAAGGTTCTGTTATAGATCTTACCTCTACAAGGGTCATTCTGCTCCAGAAACTCCTCCAGCGTGACCCAGCCACCACCCACACGAACCATGACCGTGTGGTTGAGAAACCTCACCAAACATGTCTTCTGCTTTTCTCCAAACTGTAACAAAATATTTAAACCAAGAACCTATTGAAAGCCAGAATATTTTCCTCACCTCTTGAGTTAAACTTTAAGTTGGGAGGATCAACTTCATTGCAACGGGAATGGCTGGCCCTCTGCCAAGAGCGTCACATAAAGCCAAGAGCGTCACATAAAGCAAGAACAGTAGATCCAGTGACAATCCCCAGGGATCTTGGTAAAAACTGCACTTGTGTGCTGAGCGACACGTCCATGAATTCACAGTGTATGCAAACGAACTGATCATTTCACCACAGAGACCTCCCCTTTTGAATCCCTTAGTTTCCTGGAAGTTTATTTCTCTCCTTAGGTTTTTCACATCAGTAATGAAATCAAACAATTTTAATCTTTTTCAGTGCATGCATCAGTTAATAAATGTTTATTTCTCTTCGCAAGTCGTTAGTAATAGTGTCAGAACCATTTTGTTTTTTTCTGCTTAATGAATACTTTTAGTTTGTGAGTAACTGTTCTATTCCTTCAAGTTTCTGCTTGTTGAAGTGACACTGATTGAACATTAGAGTTTGGTTTGGCACTAGAATTAATTTCTTACATATCTCACAAATGCATGGTAGTTTACAATGTTATTATTTGCTTCCTTCCTGATATGCTTCTGCCTTTCCATCTCCCAGTGGTGCCTCCAACAGGGGTTTCTGTGGTGAAGGCCATTTGCCTCGCGCTGTGAAGGTCATGGGTTTGTTTCATGGCTGTCTCATTCCGTTTATGAGTGTAATTCTTATTGAGACCCCTGGGATCACTATAGGAGCTACAGTGTTTGTGCTTTGTGTGACATTCTCGACAGGTGGCTAACCATTCTGCGAAGAGAAATCAAGCCATATGGGATAAAATTCTTGCAATGATGTTGATCTTCTCGCCTTTAATTGACCGTAACCTTTAATGGTGCCTAGGGCCCTCAACCAACTAACATCAAATCCTTCACAGCCTTGTACATGACAGGACTGAATTTTGTCATTACAGCTGTCTATGAGATGAGATAGCTAATTTCATTCCAACCTTTCTTAGTCGCCTCATAGGAAACGTATGGAAGTTTACAGTGTTTCTCTTCACTAATCCCATTATCAATCCTGGTAAAACATGGATATGTTACATCTGTACAATGCAGTGGCGAGGCATGTATTTCATTGCTGACACTTTCCATTCCAAAAGACAAATGCATTATTTTACAATTTATTATTACTGTTTACAATTTAATGCAAATATGCCACATGGGTTAAGTCTTGCTGAGCCTGCAAACCTCATTAGGATTAAAAACATAGCAAAAAGAATGCTTGCTGCATGCTAACACCACTCATGCAGAAACTGTAAAAGCTACCAGTAACTAGTACTACAATACCAGCTATGCACGCATACTCAAAACAGTAAATTGACAAGGAGGAAAATACCTTATGATACCCTCTCCAGTGTAATTGTTACCTGCTGATAGTTATGCATGTGAATTAATCATGCCTCCCCACTGGCATAATGGTTCATTAAAACAGTGAAGCAGTATGCAGTAATGTTTGACAGTGTTTTGTTTTTATCTGACACACTTTTGAGTTTGCTTGCAGAGACCCTGGCATAAGTGTAACATACTGTCATCTGTTGAGCTTAGCTCCTAGATTTACCCAGCTTTAAATGAATACCAGGAAAATTCATGGGAAGTAAAGACAGCCAGCTTTATGCTGGTAATATTTAGAGCTGAGTGAAGATGTTTGATGCAACACTGGTATTAGAAAGATCTTTTACTTCTTTTACTTCTGAATGTCTTATGTCCAAATTTGTCTTCAGACCATAGATTATCTACCTGTGAACACTAATGTAGATTATGTACCTGCAAACACTAATTTAGATGATCTGCCTGGAAAAACTAATATT